CCCCTGTCACGGCAGAGAGCCGTGACAGGATCGAGAGGTGAGCGAACGCCGATATGTGTTCGCTCACCTCCCGATCTACTCAGTCGACCTGTGACAGTCTCATTGTCACAGGTCGGCTAGAACTATGAGGTGAGTGAAAAGCATTCTTCATTGAGTCCTGTTGGGGCAAGAGTGTTGAGGCTGTAAATCCAAAAGGTCTCCTGTCTACACAACCTCTGAAATCGCTCGGCTGGAGAAAAACGATCAGGGATGTGTTCTATGGCGAACACGTGTAGATCCTGAATCCGTTTGCCATGTTTAGCCGCAAAGTGTCTGGGGACACTATGATCGCAGTCACCATCAGCAATGAAGCGTCTATGTTCGCCTATCCTCTTTCTTAGAGGACGGATGGTGCGTCCAATGTATAATAAGCCGCATGGACATTTCAAACCATAGACCACATGGTCATGCGAGCATGTGATGAACTGTTTGATGGGATAACTGTTATTGAGATGATCAGTGAATGTGGATTGTCCGTGAGTCATAAACTGACATGTGAGACAGCGGGATTTTTTGCATTGGTGGATGCCCACTCCGTTGTCGAATTTTTGGTGTTGTGTATCTCTAATGTCACCGGCTAGTAACTTACTTGGTGCTATTTTGTTTTTGAGATTGCAGGCCTTTCTAAAGGGGACTGCTGGTTTGGATGCAATGAACGGGCCTAGTTTAGGATCCTGCTTTAGAATATGCCAGTTCTTACGAATGATACGTTGTGTCTTGTTATGGCTACTGTTAAATGTGGTAATGAATCTCGTTTCCGCCACAGGTGAAGGGCGTTCGTTTAATTTGGGTGCGGGCGGCTGTAGGTTTGTGGAGTATGCGTCGTGAACCAGTGTGTCTGGATAGGCTTTCTCTTTGAATTTGTTGGCAAGCAATTTGCTCTGAGTGGTGAAGTCTGTTAGAGCAGTTCCGCTTTTGGGGATATTTTTGAGCCATCTGGGATGGTGGCAGCTGTGAAAGTGTACATAAGAGTTGCCACTGGTGGGTTTTGTGTGGTTGCTGGTGGTGATGGTACTACCATCGAAGGATAATTCCAAGTCTAGGAATACTAGTCTCTCAGAGTTGGACACATGTGTAAACGTCAAGCCTAGTTTGTTCTGGTTGCAATGGGAAATGAATGGTTGTATGGAATCAATGGGACCATCCCAGATAATGACGATGTCGTCGATGTAGCGCCCATAAAAGATTCGGTGGGAAGCAAAAGGGTTGTTACTCCATATGAACTGATCCTCCCAGAACCCCATAGTGAGATTGGCATAGCTTGGGGCGTAATTAGCCCTAATGGCTGTGCCTCTGATTTGTAGGTAAAAATTATCCAAAAAGACGAAATAATTGTGCTCTAGTGTGAATTTTGTACAGTCCACAATGAACTGGGCCTGTTTGTGGTGTAGAGTGGAGTGGGAGACCAAATAATGTTGCAGCGCATTGAGGCCTACTTCATGCGGAATGGAGGTATATAAAGAGGTGACGTCGAGTGACAACCAGGAATAGGAGGGGTTCCATTGGTAGTTTAAAAGTATCTGTATTAGGTCGCACAAATCTTGGATATATGAAGGTAGATTAGTTACCAAATGTTGCAAAAAGTGGTCTATATAGACTGATAGTCCACTGGTGAGACTATCAGTGCTGGCAATAATGGGACGGCATGGAGGTAGAGAGGCATCTTTGTGAATTTTTGGGAGATGGTAGGAGTAAGGGATGTGGGGATGTTGTGGGTATAGGAATGCTCTTTCTTTCTTTGTTAGGATGGATTCTTTGGAAGCTGCTTCTAGGAGGTCGGTTTTATAGGTATTAATGGTAAATTAGTGTAGGTGGACTGGTCACCTAGGAGCCTGTGGGCTTCAGCTAGGTAGTCCAAACGATTTTGTATCACAATCCTGCCCCCTTTGTCGGCCTGTTTGATGATCAGGTCGTGGTTGGCGGTGAGTTCTTTAAGAGCTCTGGATTCAGAAAAACTGAGATTATGGTGTTTTTGAACATTTTTGCACATGGACAGAAGGTCAGAGTACATGACATGATAAAAGGTGTCTATGAACGAACCTTTGGACTGTAATGGGTAAAAAGTGGATTTTAAGGCAGTGTGGGTGATGTCGGCTTCTACCAATGTGTCTGATATGTAGTTATAGGAGGAATTGGGGTCAGCTAAATCACAAAGAATTTCTAGTGTGTCATGATCTGTATCGTCAATGCTACTGCTGGATTTATTGGGGGACGCTACAGATCAGATATTCAACAAGCTTTCCAGAAGGCCTATTATAGAATGGCTATATTTCTCAAAAACACCTTTGACAGATATGACAACAGACAAGACAAAACAAAAATCAAATTCTATTAAAAACGTTTTACTGGTCATTAAAAATTTCAGAAAAAATAAATTTAAACATTTTTATTGTTTCTCCAATAACTTTCTATACTCTTATTCATGGTATTTGTACATGAGGACAAAATATACAGAAAATGTTTAAATCTCTTCCAATGGCTGAAATTGAAAGCCGTCATAAGCAACACTTTTATGGTTATTACCTGGAACAACACGCTCTGCCCTAAGCAACACAATCCAGGAACCCATTCACACGCTCCAGGCATGACGGAAGGAGTGGACTCTGCCCTTTTGTTGCCACAACAGTCAACCACAACATGACCATAAAGCACAGTCTTACAATACACACACAGACAAGGGAGAAAAGTGGGACAATCAAAACCTCTGAGAAGATCAAATTGGCAAAATTAATTACAACAAGACTGCGGAGTTCCAAAATCATATAAATTATTCAGTGATTGTTTCCTTCATCGAAGGACTCTACACCAGAATCGCTTGCAGTGGCGTTGATCTTTTCTTGGCGTTTTTTCATGACTTCCCGCAGCTCAGAGCTTCCGTCAAGTTCCTTAAGGACACAGAAGAGTAGAAAAATCTTATAAGATTACTATTGTCCCATTATATGCATTTATCATGTAATACATGGGCAAGGCTTCAGTTACAAACCACTTGACAGGCCAATTCCATGCCTGGTCCAGATCAGCTTGATTTGTGTGAATAGTAGTGGTGATGGGGAGGATGACAGAAAGAAATGGACGACTTTCAGTCATAAATTGCAATCTCCAAAAACGTATTTCATTGAAAAATATTATCACACATTGGAGAATTTTCAGTCTCAATGAACTCTGAGATTTACTGGAACCTATTGCTGTCAGATTTATCTATAGAGGTTGGAAATGGAGCACATATATATGGGGAGTAGTGATCATAATACATTCATACACTACACAAAATAGATACCTCTAAAGCAGCTTTCTGAAGAGTCACCTGGTTGTAAACCCTTGGTCCCTCTGGACAGACTGTCTTTATCTCATCCTTGGTGAGGGAAAAAAGCTGAGCGCCAGTTAGCACACCAAGGCTGTTGACGGTCCTGGAAGAATGAACAAAATATCATTATGTGCCAAGACATACAATCGAAGTGTATGTAGTATCATACACAGGGATGATGTAATCAGATCTCCTCTGAAACAAATGCATATGAAGATACAGCACTATGAAAAGTGAAGGAGGAGGAATGGAGACACTACGGTAACAGGAGAAGATGGAACAATGTAGAACTATGGGAAGAAGAGAAAGAACAGTAATGGAGGATTACTGAGAGAGATGAAGGAAGAATAGAGGGCTATAGGGAGAGGAGGGAAAATGAAGACACTATGGGAAGAAGACAAGGTGGAATTGAAGATCTATGAGAAGAGGAGAATGGAGTAAAAGGAGGAATGGAGACACTATAGAAAGGAGGAGGAATGTAGAACTACAGAAAGAGAAGGAGGAAGAATGGATGCACAATAGAAAAGGAGAAGTAGGTGAAGGTGGAATGGAAGACTATTGGAAGAAAAGAAGATAGAGGAATGCCCAACTGTGCATATAGGAGGAGATGGAATTGAGATACTATGGAAGAGAAGAAAATGAAGTAGAGATTCTCCTCTTCACTATGGGAAGAGAAGAAGAAATAGAGGAACTATAAGAAAAGAAAGACACAATAACATCAGACAAATTTGAGACATATGAGAAAACAAAAAAAGGCATTCCTACACAGGATAGGGGTCAGTTACTCAATAAGGTAGTGATGCAGAACAGCAGCTTTAAGTGGGTGGCAGGGATATTGTACACGGTTAAGCTTTTCTCTTAAATTATAGATAATATGTGTCAATTTACACAGAACTGAATCCCTTTGCCTGCAGCCATGATTTCACATCTTCTGTGGATGAACTGTAGGAAATGTTGAATGCTGTCGTGTTTTGGCGCGGTACAGTGAATTTCTTCTGGGCTGCACTGCGTCCAATGGTGAGTCTCTGCACTAATTCATCCTGAACCTCCTCCATCTGAGACTTCCTGCCTGAAATATAATAGTCACCAATAAAATCACCCCTCTGCTCTGGATTCATAAGTCCTAGAATCTGAAATGTCACACACAATTCTAAAGCCATTAAATCGTTTAAGAGTTCGGGTTTTTATTATTTTTCAAAATCTGTAGGGTTGTTAGAGAAATGCATAAATGCTAATGCAAGAATAGTAATAATAATAGTGTCATGTATAAAACAGTGGCCTTTATTACGTACGGTCAATGGGTCTGTCTCTCTGGTGGTCTCGCATACTGCTGCCCCCACTGTCGCTGGACGTGCTGCTCTGGCGACTGATCAGACTTCCAGATGGACAGGACTTGGATATTGGTATAGAGAGAGGGGAGGGGACTGGGTGTGGAGGTGGGGTAGGCGCTGTAAAAACTGGGTCTCCTTGCTTTGGGACATTCTCGGACTTCTGTTTCTAGAAAATAAATACATTAAAAGATAGTTATTTCAGAGTCACCAACTCACTCAGACAGGAGGATGGTTAAAGCATTATTCTGTATACTGGCCAATCAAGAATAAAAATCAGCACACACAGAAGGCTTATGGAGAGGAAATGTCCTAGGAACCGGGATTGATAATTAAATGCTCTTTAACCAATATATTTTATATATACACACACACACACACACACACACACACACAGATAAGGTTTTTTCAGAATCGAGTACCAATATTTTGCTTTTGGTACTTGCTGATACAGAGTACCAATACTGGTGCTTCCAGGCAATCAGGAAGCTGGGCAGCGGGTAATGTCATGCCGCCCATCTCAATTGCCTGAGAAGCCGGGTCAATGGTGTTTGGCCGGCTGGTTGGTGATTGGCTGGGAAGCCAGTTTTCCAGCCAATCTTAATGACCCGCCTCCTGTCTTCCTTATTGGCCACAAAGCTGGCTCCATGCTGATTGGCTGGAAAGCCGGTTTCCCAGCCAATCAACATCGAGCCGGCTATTCGGCTCTAACAGCTTTATAATATGTTAATATTATAAAGCTGTTAGAGCCGAATAGCCGGCTGAAAGGTGGGGGCAAGACTAGGAATGTCAATTGGTGAGGTTTGGGGAGATAAGAAAGACCATTCTGTAAAGGAAAACTAACTCACACAACATTCATTTCAGCTATAAACTCAGAAATCATACTACCCAAAACATACCATTAAAAAATTACATAACACTTATTTTGGTTGTCCAGTTAATTTCTTACTTTTTATGTTGATCGCACCTTAAACTTCAAATATACTACCTTTTATGCTCTGTAACCAATTGGGAGCTGTATGTGTGTGCCAAACGATATGCCAAGAAACCAGTACAGGGAAGTTCAAAAGAAATCTCCCATTCTCCCCACCCTTCTGATCCTGCCATCTCCTCGGGGGACAGATTTTGGTCCTCGCCCTGTTCTGAATCAGAATAGACTTCCTCCATTTTCTCCATCTAGAGGCCTACCCCAGAGGTCTCACCATCTATAATACATATATATAATACACACACACACACACACACACACACACACACTACTGTGCAAAAGCTTTAGGCAGGTGTGAAAAAATGCTTTCAGAAACAAAAGTGTTAATTGATTTTTTTTTAGCAATTAACAAAAAAGGAAAGTAAATGTACAGAAGAGAAATCCAAATCAAATACATATTTGGTGTGATCACCCTTTGCCTTCTGACGATTCCTCAAATTGATACACCGTAACCAGTTGTAGACCTTTTCACACACTGCTGTAAATTATTTAACTGATTAATGCAGGTCACTGTGTAGTCATTTTTTTATGTAGCTCCAATTCTTATATATTGCCTTATCTCATAAAAAGAGTGAGCTTTGGAGTGGTGACTACTTTACAGCACACAGGGACCATGGGGAACAAAAGTAGCCACTCTCCATAAGGAAGGACAGTGTCAGCTCCAATTCAGAGATGATTTGAGGATCTACAGCCGAGTGATACACACATAAGATACATTTCTGTTAATATGTAAGGTGCTTGAATGTATTTTCAGGGTTTAACTCGCGAGTTTAGTGTCACTTTAAAGGAGAACTATGAGGTGAGTGCTTTTCACTCACCTCATAGTTCTAGCCGACCTGTGACAATGAGACTGTCACAGGTCGGCTCAGTAGATCGGGAGGTGAGCGAACACATACCGGCGTTCGCTCACCTCTCGATCCTGTCACGGCTCTCTGCCTTGACAGGGGAGGGGCTGGATTCCTCCCTCCCCGCTCCGATCCGCCAGCGCTGACTGGCGGAACGGACGGGGGAGGGGGCGGGTACAGCTGGCTCTGCCTCTAGATAGGCAGAGCCAGCTGTCAGTCACACAGCTGGGCGGATCCCGGCATAATTGTCGGGATCCGCTTCAGCTGCGGCGTCTCAGTATACCACGAGCAGCAGCTCGCGGTATACTGCTGCGTCTCAGTATACTGAGCCTAGGGTGACGGGAGGACGCTAGTTTGTGTCCTCCCGTTACCCTAAGGAGAACTATGGGGAAAAGACTTAACACCATAGTTCTCCTTTAAGTCTTCTTTCTTATTACTTTTTCTTATTTATTTTTTTTCACATGGGTCCATCAAATGGCTACTCCCAACATTGCACAACTATACACAAGAAATAAAACATTGTTTGACAAGTCTATTCCCAGCAAAAGAGATGAATAGAAACGGAAAGAAGCTGGTAGAACTAGAAGGACAGTCAGGGGAAGTTGTATCACATCGCAGTTATTGACTGCAGATCAGCAGGATGACAGAGCAAGGAGGAAGGGGGCATTATTCAGCCATGCATTACCTCCGACAGCTCTCCCAGCAATTGCTGTTCGTAAAAAAACAAAAAAAAACAAAAAAAACAACACAAAACAAATTATACACTTAATTATAGTTATTATATAATCACATGGCATACATGTAGACAACTATCACTACAAGGTCTTTCAGCTTGGGTTTTTCAGGTAAGAGCTCATCAATAACACCACATTGTTCTTGGCCGCTCTTCCATGGTGGAGATCCTCATTCCAGATGTCTTCTGCTGACTCATTAAATAAGTGCAAGCAGAATTTCTGGTCTGCTAACTGCAATTTTTCATTGAATGATATCCTTTTAAAGTGCTTTTAAAATACTATGACACATTAAAGACGCATGTGATTAATGTAGTCATACAACATGGTTTTGGCTGTCTCAGATTTCATCCCAGTGATACTTTATGAGGATTAACACTCCAGAATTTAGTGAGAGGACATAAAGGGATTTGTGACCAAAAATGCTGAATAATAGAAAATAGATTATTAGATTGTTAAAAAGAAAACTGTCTTTTTAGGAAATAAAATATCCCATAAAAGGATAACTGCTATTAAAAAAAAAAAAGAGAATGATTGCTCGGTATCCCACGAAATGAGTCTTAAAATAAACATTTACTTTGTACATAAGACACACATATGTGATCTTTGGGTACTTTACTTCACCTTTAAAATTTGTAATTTGAGTAAATGCCTCACTGATATCTCCTGTTGTATTTTAGGATACAACACCTCAAAGCTGGTTTGGTGCAGTGCTAGAGATAGCTGAACATGAAGTGTACAAGGGAAGGACTTCCAGAAACCATTAAGGTGGAATATCAGTAGGTGACATACTGCATTTAAAAATAGGAAGACCCCCTCCTCTATCTCATTGTTTTCTAATCATAATAGCATGGGAAGAGAATAGATAAATCACACCCAAAAAACAAAATGTATAAAAAAAAGAGTGGAAGGGACAGCAGATCCAACAAACCATGCTGAGACCCACCTTGAAGATTTCAAACTCCTTCTTTGGCATCAAAAGCTTTTGGTGGAGCATGTCAATACACAAAATAATTGTATGAAATGCAAAGTTACTACTAGTTACAGTATGTGGAACTGTGCTTTGTGATCTATGGTCTATGAGCAATCTACCACGATCCAGTGCACTCCTCTAAGATCTGCTATCTTAGGCAATCTAAAGCATTGCTCAATGACCTACTATAAAAGGCGCACTATACAGAGACCTAGTACATGTGGGGAATACTACATGGTGTATAATACAGCGCACAGTTTATAAGAGTCAGTAATTTAATATTTACAGAGATCCAGAAAGCTATTACGGTAGCTTCTATTGTACAGCAAGCTGGGAAGTACACAGTCTCAGACAGCAGGGTCGGAAAGAAGACATATAAGGGAGAATGGTTGATGGTATAAACACTCTAAATTCTAACAGCATTCTAACATAACTAATTAATGTAAAGTAAAAGATATATGAGAAAAATACAACCCCAGGCACTATATTTACGGAGGGTAACTGTTCTTTACCTGAATGGTTTGGCTGTAGAGCGGGTCTGAACGGGCCAGCGATGACTCTTCAGTCTTCGCCATTCCCAGGATGTTGTTTGGCACAAAACCAGAAGAACCACTGGAATTACGGACTTTCCACCATTGCTTCTTATCATCAATGATCTTCAAAAGACAGAGCCCAGCAGTAGAGTAACTACAGAGACAGAGAGAGCACTAGGAACTAGAGAGACAGAGAGGAAGAGCACAAGCAACTGCACAGGGAGAGAGACAGAGAGAGCACAAGCAAGTACAGAGAGAGAAGGCAAGAGAGCGCAAGAAAGCATCTGTAGAGAAAGAGAGCATGCACAAGCAAATGCAGAGAGATTAAAGAAGAAAATGCAGAAAGAGAGGCCAGCAGCTGCACACGAAAAAAACAAAACACAACAAGCAGCTACAGGAAAGACTCACATTTTAACCCCCAAAAAAATAAGTTCTATAAACTAATTTCTTACATAGTTATATTCTCTCTCCCATCTTATATCTTGCCCAATCTTTACCCCCTTAGATAAAATGTCCCATCCAGTTTTCTGACATGTTTAGCTTTACCTCCACAGATAACATATCCCCATCCACTGTTCTGTTATGCTCAGTCTTTACCTCCACAAGGTCATCTTTCATCACAGAGAGCTCATTTAGGTTCCTGGCTACGAAGTCGTACTTGCATACAGCAAATTTTGGGGAATTCGTCTCCTCATTTCTGTGTGGGTAGAAAGTCAAATTATTGGGATGTAAATTGTATAAAAATCAGCAGAAGCAGCTGTGAGGTAGAAGGCTGGTAAAAACAAAACAAAAAAACTTTTAAAAAACCCAACCATAACAATATGGGCAAGAAAACAACTATCAGGTTCACTCTTCCTGTTACAATTTTAATATTGCAGAAAGCAGATTGAGAATCTCCTGTGCAGCAAGCAGAGTGAGAGACTGACTGGATGAGAAGGCAGGATCCCCGGCATTGAGACCTCTCTCATGAAAAATATGGGAAACCAGCGGCTGATTCTCCGTGATGCCTTCCATCCGTAATCAGAAGCCACATTTGGCCAGTTTGGACCTTAAAATATAAGGAAATATACTTACCAGACTTCTATACCATCTGCAGCCAGATTAGCTGGCGTGATATCACACAGAAGCAAGAACAATAAAAGGATTTTGTGTGTGACCATAGGATTCCTGAAAGGCCACTTCTCTGCTGTCCTCAGTGCCACACCATGGTGGGCTTCCACATCTATATCCACAGCAGTGCCACAAGGCATTGGTAAGTATTTTCTATGCAGGGTCCAAACCCCACCCAGGGCTCAATGCACATGGGCATTCCTCTGCATTCCGCTTTTGGTGGGTAGGGGGTCCTCTACAAAGAGGTCAGTGACATCTCACCTGTAAAATAAGTTTCCATGCTCCCAGGGCACAGATCTGGTCTTCCTACAAGTAGTATATAAATACCATAACACTCCTGTACTCCATATTGTACCAAATATATACACTGCTTATATGGTTCAGACTATACAGACCTCAGGGTCCATTGTACCACAATCTACCCATACACAGACCAAGCAGAAATCTTTCCGCTATAGGGTCAACAGATGCCCAAGTAAAATCTAAAACACAATGTGTAGGGATCTGTACAAAATCAAGGGCATGATGTATTGTTTTTACAGGAATCCTTACAAAATGGGTTTTAGATAAGATTGGTTACCCACATGGATTTAGATGGATACTAAAATGTAACACTAAAAGGTTAGGGTCTAAAACTTGTGAGCAGTTCATGTATTTGGTGCCTTCATTTAAAGCTAGAAAACCTATGTTAAGGAATTTTTCTTAAAAGGAGTGCTGGATTATCACAGCAATTCCTCTACCAAAAAAGAAAGGAGGACCATAATCATTTACATACAGAATATGGGAACTCTGTTGCTGGCAGCACTCAAGTATCTGCTCTGTGGAATCAAGAGAGGAGTTATCCAAAAGCGAAGTTACTAAATTTCACAGATAATTTAGTCCCTAGACCCAGTCATAACTGCGGACAACCTTCTGTAATGCCCATGTCTCGGCTACCATTCAACACAAAGTTAGTGGGAAGCGTGTGAATAAAGCTCATTAGGATTAGTTAGCGAAGCGTGGGCCGTTGCATGTCTGTCGGCATTTATTGTGTATATCGTAGTGTATAATAAAACTTCACAAATGTGACATGTATATGAGCATGACCTACATGGGCGCCATGCACCTGGCAGCTTTCCAGAGAGACTCACAAGTTCCGCTGGGTGACCCCATTAACCAGCTTTTTTATCAGTGTACTGCAGCTAAAATAGGAAATTACTTGGTAGCTGCAATCAGAGTGATGGCGATTAGCCCTCCGTCACGTGGCAATTTTTGTGGTGCGTGCCTGTTGGGAGGCCAATGAAGATATTAGTGAATGTTTGGACCTCAGAAGGATGAGAAGTGACAGGCTGGTGTTGAAGCATTGCAGTGTGTGTTAATAAAAAGCCCAAGAAAACCAATATCAGAAAATACTTTTATTGTAAATAATGTGGCATGTTTATATATTTATAATATATAGGCATATATATATGTATAAAGATAGGGTTATAGAAGTATTGATTTGGACTAATTGATTTTTGCTTCAATCTGTGCATCTGTTAATATTATGAAAATATACATATATGTCAGAGGCAATTAGAGCCCCAAATTGGAGTCCTTTTCATGAGCCACATGCTTCATGTACAGAAATGTGGAGTCATGTGCTCAGTCATGTGACTTATGAGGAGGAGCTTCACACTGATTGGTCAGGAATAATAGCCTGTTTAGCAGAGTATAGGTAGCAGAGTATAGGAAGTATTAACAGTTTCTCTCAGGAATTGTCGAAAACACAAAGTGCTGAGTTATTAGTAAAATGATTAATAAGGAAAGGTTGTTAATTAAATATTTAGTATGTACATAGGTGGGCAGGATTAGGAAGAGACATGCAGAATTAAAGGGTGTCAGACAGCGCCAATCTTAACGCTGAGACAATGGCAGTTATATGACAGTTGTGGGATGTTAACCAGTCTCCGATACACTGTTTGCTCTTCAGGAGGTTACAAGGTACAGCTATTGCGCATGCTCCAGCAGGGTGGGGGTAGGCCGAGTTAGGGATTATAGAAATAAAAATTCCTGTGACAAGGAGAGAAGTAAACGAGTCAGTAGAAGGAAAAACACATTCCCCGGCCTGGGCCAAAGTTCAGTGAAAAACCATGAAAGTACCTTCTGAGGTTGTGGGGAATCGTCAGCCTGGACAAGCTACTACTAACGTTACAATTAATGATTAGATTTAGACAAGCCTACTAATGTGACGCTGCCCCTTATTCTTCAGCTTGTCAGTAAGGCTGGGGAGAGATCAGCAAATGACTTCTTCCCCACACTCAGATATTGCCGCACTGTCCTCTATACACTCACCTGTCTGGGGCGAATGAGTCTGGAACTCGGGAGAGCTGCAAGATGAAAGAAAAGACATAATAGCTTTTGGCATCCCCATCGGTCATAAACTAGATCATTGTTCACGACACAAACACCCACACAATGCGAGCGCTAGGTATACACAGTGTGTTGGGGTTGTGTACAATGTACTCAATCCCACCAAATTATTACATATACATACATACATACATACATACATACACACACATACGTATACATACATACACACCTATATCCCACACAATGTACACCCATGGGTATAACCCACCTATACAATGTACACAACCACATACACTGTTTATACCCCTCCACCACCCAATGTACACAACCCCAACATCCCATGTATGCCTGCTCCACTTAATGTAGATAACCCCATCTACACAATGTAAACAACACAGGCACTATGAATATATCTCTATCTATCCATCTATCCCTACACACACGATGTACACATACCCAACACACAGTTTATACCTTGTCCTCTCAATGTGCACAACCCTACCTACAGTATGTATACCCCCACATACAATGTACACCTTGGCCATGCAGTGTACACAACCCCACATGCTATATGCCCCACCCAATGTAAACAACCCTGGAAAATCATGTGTATAACACACACACACACACACACACACACACAATATCCAACACACTGTTTGTATACCTTACCCATACAATGTGCATAACCCCCCACACTGGAGTTGGGACTGATGTGAATGATGACATGCACTTGAATTGTGACACCGACAATGTGTGAAAGTGTCCTGCAGACATTAGATCAGCTTGGAGGGATCAAGAGACTGTCCTGTAATATCCATGGGATACCTAAACAATGCTAATTCCTAACCCCCCCCCCCCCCCAATCAAGAGGCCTAACAGTTAAGCAACAAAAAGGCCCTCAGTTTCATACCTCAGTTGCTAAACTTCTGGTTCCCAGTTTCTCTTGGATGTCAGACATATTTGGTATGGAATCTGGCAGGTTGTTCAGTTCTGCCTCTTTAGGCATCCCCATAAAGGTCAACAATGGTGGTTCCCATCCGTTCCTGAAACGTGGGATGTATGGAGGAATAAACTGGTCTTTAGGCCAATCCACTCTGTAGAGGGAAATTAAAAAGTGAGAAACTTGCACATGGAGAGGCCAAGAAAACAAGGTTAGACTGAGATGGATGCCGGACCCGGTAATGACACCATGTGTGTAAAAATAAGGAGCAAGTTAGAAACGCATAAGGGAAGGCATCAATTTAATAGATCACTTCCTGTACCTAACCAGACCAACATCCATCCAAATATCCAAAATCCTGCAGTTTAAATCTGGTACATATTTTCCACACTGCCAGGTAGAAGCATAGCTGTAGATTTTGTAACCTTAAAGCCAGTCACCAATTGCAAAACCTGGGAATCCAGCACCATACATGCTTTATGATGACAGAGGACATTACAAGGCAAAGAATGAGCAGCTTTCTTCATAGCTAGATATTGTAGTTGTTGTATAGTCAAAGCGTATGTCTTGGCAAAACACAGAAAAGAACAAAAAAAAAACCCCATATGCAGTATATCATAGTGACACATTTTTTTTCACATTTATCTTTTGAAGAAGAAAAAAAAACTTGCAAGTACAGAAAAATACATGTTGATCCACCAGAAGTTTAATGCGCTCCTAACTTCTTGTAGGGCCTTTGCTGCATTGAAATCCCAAATCTGTGCTGTTAGCTGTGCCTGCTGGACTAAGCACTCCACCTATACCCTCTCCACATACATTTATTTTATTTCCAGCAAAACAATGATGCTGCCTTGACTCCCAAGTGCCTGCCCACTCACTGAGGGGTGTGGTCACTGAGGGGCGCTGTAAAGCTTTCTCGCACAGGGCGCCTAAAGACCTAAGGCCGGCCCTGTGCCCACACCCCGTGTAGGGGTGCAGTTTGGCCTTACTGTCTATTAGGTTATGGTCTTTGAAAACCCAGATCATTTTCAAAGATTAAATCCCTCAGTTTTACTCCCCGTAGAATGTGTAATGCATGCATGTTTTTAGTTCCCAAGTGCATAACGCTGCATTCTCAACATTAAACCTCATTTGCCACACAGTTGTCCAATGAAACAGTACATTTAGGTCATTCGGAGACATCTAGTAAGAACTATATTCCACTACAAAGCTTGATGTCATTTGCCAACATAGAAATTGATCTTTTTATCCCCAAAACTCTATATAATTTATAAATAGTTTAAACAGTAAGGGTCTCAACACTGAACCTTGGGGTACACCACTAACAACCTTAGACCATTTAGAGTATGAATCATTAATCACTATTCTCTGAATACGGTTATTTTCCTAACCATTTACAGATGGAATTTTCTAAGACTATAGACCTTAATTTACATATTATCACTCCGCAGGGAATGATGTCAAACACTTTTGCAAAGTCCAAGTATACTATGACCACAGCCACTCCTTTGTCTAGGTTATAGCTTACTTCCTCGTAAAAAGAAAGACTTGTTTGACAACTTTGTTCTCTTGTGAATCCACGCTACTGCTAATTAGAAAAAAGAAAAACTCATCTACGTGGTCCCTTTAACAAACTCATGTATCATTCCGACTACAGAAGTTAAATTTACAGGTCTAAAGTTACTTGGTATAGATTTTTATCCCTTTTGATCCCCTTTTTAAAATGGGCACCACAGTGGCCTTGCACCAATCCACTGATACCAAGCCAATAGTTAAAGAATCTCTTATAACTACAAAAAATGGCTTAGAACAGAGCTCATCTCTTTGAGGATACATGAGTGTAAGCCATCAGGTCCAGGAGTTTTATTCACCTTTATTTTGTCTTTTTTGGACCATATCAATTTGGAGCCATTGTGGTTCTTTTGAGGAGGTGGCAATACTATCCTCATTATGGTGGAGTTGCACCATTTTCCTTTGTATACACAGAGCCAAGGAAGGTATTGAATAGATATGAACTTCTCTTTGTCCCCAGTCACCAACTCTGAGTTATCTTGTGAGGGGTCTACATGCTCAGACCTGATCTTTTTACGATTAATACATTTAAACAGTTCAGGGGGTTTGTCTTCATCTCTTTTGCAACCAGTCATTCATTTTGCACTTTTGCGGTCTTGATTTTTTTTTACATATTTTATTAAATTTTCCTCACTTTCAAGTGTTCCTTCATTTTTATATTTTTAAATGTCCTTTTCTTATTCTTTACGCCAATATTACTATTGGCATGAGCCACTTATGTTTTACTTTTAGCCTTTTAACCCTTTTGCCCATGGGAACATGCACATATAGTCGATTTGATGACAACCAAAACTTCTTGGATGACAATATTGCCTCCCTGTCAAAGTCTAGGAGAGCAGCCCTCAGCAGTCAAAAATGTGCGCTCTTAAAATTAAAGTGTTTTTATCTTTACAGTATGTGCTAATTGTCCACAACTTAAATTCACCTTTAGGAAAATCAAAACAAAACAACATGCATTCCAGCATCCTCTGCAGATTACAAACCACTGTTCAGCATATTAAAAAAAATGCTCCTTTTGCATCTCATACCTACATGCCATGGCCGGCCTGAATGCAAAATATTACTTGGTAGATGACACCCCTCTCTCCTGCCTAAACTGCAGTACGAGCCAGTCACCTCTACCCAGATTCTCTTGCATATAAACATTTGTAATAAGTTCTGCATCGTTTGAAATTAACTTATTTTCAATTTCATGCAGTCCAAGTTCAAAATTTATGTCCTAAAAGGAGAACTATGAGGTGAGTGAAAATCACTCATCCTCATAGTTCGAGCCGATATGTGACAATGAGACGGTCACACGTCGGCTCAATAAAATCGGGGAGTGAGCGAAAACATACCGTCGCTTGCTCACTTCTCGATCGTCTCCCTGCAGTGAGCGGTGACTTTCAATCACCGCAGGGATTGCCCCCCCCTGCCCACTCCGATCCTCCAGCGCTGACTGGAGGAACGTACGTGGGAGGGAGCGGATACAGCTGGCTCTGCCTCTAGATAGGCAGAGCCCGCTGTCACTCACGCAGCTGGGTGGATCGACAGCATTGTCGGGATCCGTCCCAGCTGCGGCGGTCTCCGAATATCGCGAGCTGTAGCTCGCGATATACTGAGCTTTGGGTCACGGGAGGACGCTAGTATATGTCCTCCCGTGACCCTTAAGAGAATTATGGGGAAAAACATTTACCCCATAGTTCTCTTTTACGTATTGATGACAGTAATCAAATACTCTTTTGTTCTGTCACCTGCACTGTAACCGCCCCGACGTTTCTTTTGATGTATATGGCTTTACGATATTTTGTTGCAGAGGTGTACCACATAGCACTAATTTGGCCTTTATGATTCTCTCTTAGTATTGACATGTGTCATGTATTGTTTTCTTTGAAGCTTTTTCTGTTTGTATAAAACCCAATAAAAAGTTTTGTGAATGAAAATAACAGGTTCAGCAGAACATCATCATTTCTAGTAAAGGCATCTATAAAGTGTACCATAAACTTGTCTTGTAGCACGTCTATACATTTCTGCCCTGTTACTGTTCTAGTAAAAAGATAATTATTTTTTCTGCCTTCATGGTTTGTGTCCAAGGGCAAACACAAAATAACAATGGAGGTACGAATATTTGTGAAGCTGAAAATGAATAGATCTCTACTGAAGGAATGTGTTGTCTTATTCTGCAAAGGAACCTAATTTATCTGAACAGCAAAGATTACGTTTTCATGCAATATATATTTTCATGGATAGACAGAGCAGGTCTTCTAGAAATGACAATTAGGGGGAGACAAAGTGATATGCACACATTCTAAAAGTACCTGGACTTGATCCAAGTTTCACCAAGTCCCCACCACAGCCTCTTCTCTTCCTCGTTCAGGATAAAATTAAGAAAATCAATGGCGTCCTTTATTAAGAGGGGGCTGAGAACAGTTTTTGCAAGCTCTGGGCCCCCTGTTGCCTCCACAATCTGAAAAATAGTAAACATACTGCAAAATAATACCTGTAACAAACGTCAAAGAGCTCCCCAATTAAGACATCTCTAAGTCATTGTTCCCATCTAACCAGATAATGTACTCCATACTTACCATACTTAATGGTGTGAAAAGGAAGTGAACCAGCTCAGCAGCGCTGGGGTTCTGTATGTGGGACTTAAGCTTTGCCTGTAAAAACACAAATTCTTCTGTTAGTAACAGCACAGCTAGCGACAACACTTCCTGCAGCAAGACGGAAGGTGGCAAACAGTACAAATTAATAATTCAATAGGAGTTTTATCTGGCTGAAGCAAAAGTATAGGATACGTTTGATTATCTAGGAGCTTGACACTTCAGGTGCACTAATTCCACCAATGAATGGACTAGTTTGTGGACCATGGTGACACAATTCTGTCAACGCCACTAAACTTCCAGATAACCAGAACCTGAGAAGTTATGTGCAGGAATCTTCCAGGATCCCAAAGGATACTTTGGACACTGATTTGGTAAAGTGCAAGCCCTCCCTCAAATTAAGCTTTAGGAGAAAGAAGACTTTAATTCTCCTGTAGAAAATATTTGCATTTAACTGAGAATATTTAAGGATATTCCCAGACAATCAGTTATGGTTATCCATAGAAATAAAAAACCATCACCTCTTTAATTGGACATCTGTGGCCCCCTAAGCTAGAACTGATTTCCATCTACCTTGTCCCTTTCAGTAAGACCCAATTACAGCCCACGGACTGCAAGGTGCCTTTGCCAAACTGAGGATGGCATGGTATAGTATAGCATTTCTATCGGCATCCAATCCATGTTCACCCTGGACAAGTACAGCTGCATCTGGATTGGAGGCCTGATGGTGTTCTCAACATTAAAGAGGCTCCCTCAAGCCTTGCCTATCCTTTGATGAATAAAAATAATGTGAACTATTCTGTAAGCTACATGTACGCATGACACTGCAGACATCCAGTCTGCTTGTGTTTAGGCCCACACTTCACAGCTAAACAGTAATCACACAAGATAAATAACCTTCTGTGATTGCTGCCACTTCTTCCCTAGATAAGTCCATGCTGGCAGTTCCTGTGGTGTTGCCCCCCTCTGCTTCTTGCTTAAAGTACTAGCTGCGCACACAGATGGTATGACATGCAGCCTCCTCCAATATCTGTGCCTAGTGGTGAACATGGATAGGATTAAAAAAATAAACCCCATCATATGAATTACTGACAGATCATAATCTTTGAGAACTATGATCAGATTGCCAATTATGCCAGTAAGAACTTTACTTAAACAAGAAGGACCTTTGAAGGCATTGAATGATAACAAAGCATTGGCTTTTCACTAACCAGGAGGTTGAAGCCATGTTTGAACTTTTGTAAACAATCGGTAAATTCTTCTTGAGGAGGGGGTTTGGCACGTAATGTTAGGACGCCCTCTATATGGAGAAAAAAAAAAGAAGGGGTGAGAGAGAGAAAAAAAAAATCACGTACAAGTCATTTTCAATTTGTTCCTTCCAGCCTCCCCATCCCACCTATAGCTCACACACACACGCACACTATATCCTACCTCTCCCTGTTGCTCCCAGCACATACCATTTGCTCTCACTCCTTACCACCACCAATACCTCTCTGCTCCCCCTCCTTCCTACCACCGATACCCCTCTGCTCCCCCTCCTTCCTGCCACCCCTACCTCTCTGCTTCCAATCACTCATTCCTCCCTGCTCCCCCCTCATTCCCACCATACATACTTCTCTGCCCTCCTGATTACCACCCATACCTTCCTGCCCCCCACCCCTTACTATACATACCCCCTGGTCCCTTCTTCTTTTTTGATTTTCTCCTCTTGGACAGCTCAGAAAAGGCTTCAGCTGCCTTCTGTAGTTTCATTATGAAAAATTCTATGTCATCCAATATGTGGTTTAGGATTTGCTGTAAGAGAATTGATATGTTTAAGTAATAACCCAATATAAAAGAGCAACCCATGTATAGAAAGCACTACTGAGGGTGTCACAGGCAATGTACACATGGGATCACCAAGTACGTGATCAAGCTGCATATAGAAACTAAATGTGTGGATCCCTAACAGATTCCATCCCACAATGAACACCATTGTAGGTAAAATAGTAAATCAACAACCAAATCTCAAAACACAAAAGACTCCACTCTACATGGAACAGTAGCTCACGAACAGATCTCACCACACATATGACTCCATGGTGAGTGAAATAAAAGATCACTTTTAGATCCAAATATACATAGGACTCCAGTGTAAGGGAAATCAGTTCTGTTGGTCATCTACTAATATGCGTAGGACTCTATTGCAAGTGAAATGGTAAATTACCAACAGATCCCAAAACATGTAAGACTCCATGGTAAGTGAAGTAGTAGATTACCAACAGATCCCAACACCAATAGGATTCCTGGGTAAGTAAAATGGTAGATTACTAACAGTCCCCCAACACACACAGGACTCCAGGGCAAGTGAAAAAGCATATTGCCAACATTCATATGACTCCAGAGCATGTGAATAGTAAATCACCAACATATCGAAACACACATACGACTCCATGGTAAGTTATTGAAGTTATGCTTCCTCACCACATCTCTGTCAATTCTTGCTTCAATCATCTGTGGCGTCTCCTCATGATCTGGACTGGACCTCCGATCATCTGCAGCAGACACAATAGTAAAATGGTCGCCGATGGAACAGTCAGGAATTACATATCAATTGTACATGTGACCCGAGACAGACAGAGCGTTTTACTGGTAACATCCTAAAGATTACACCAAGTCCACAAAATGTGTCAGGGACAGCAGCAACTGGTTTCCGCATCAGTTATGGTAAATCTATGGGGGCTGCCAAGCTTTACAACACAGCAATTTATAGACACCATTGAAGGTATTGCATTTTGTCTTCTATTTTTTTTCTTTTGTAGGTTCAGAACATAAAAACGCAATACCATATAAAATTTAAGGTAATTGTTTCAGGACTTAAAAAAAAAAAAAAAATGGGCGCACATTCTGGAAGGGGTTGGGGATGGGGTTGTTGGTGTGGCGGAAACGACAGTGATGAAAGTAGGGAGACTAAGGTTGTGGTAGGTGCAGTAGTGAAAGCCTAGGCAGGGAGGGCATGGTAGTGGGGTTCAGGAGGTGGGAATTGGTTTGCGAGTGTGGTGTGGCCTACTGATGTGGTTGCTGTGGGAGTGTTGCAGGCTAACTAGTGAGAGTATGGGTGGTTGGGAGAATCTGGTCAGGTGGAGAAAGCAGGGGGGCTCTGCTGGCAGAATGAGGAGTACAGTGATGAGTGGGTTGGAGTACACTTAACAAATGCCTGCCAGCAGTTCTTCCTATGCTTCTTCTAACCTGTATTATATTAGCCAAGTAACCCAGTAACAGCTGAATATTTGTAGAGTTGGCATGGCGCTGACCATGCCTGGGCACCAATATATTATTAACCCCAAGCGGTTACTGCCCGCTTCCTTGCTGTGGCCATTCCTGCATTTGTGAGGGACTTGAAGAAATACAGTGTTATTTGTTTCCCTCTTCTGATCCTGCACCATGGGTGCACAAGTCCTACTTTCTAGCTAGAAGCCCCCCATCCAGCAACACGCATGCATAGGCGGCATGACAAAATAAATATGAAGGCAATATATCGTGCATACTCTGTTAAGTCTCTCAGGTCAATAACTCACTTGTGCTGAATAACACTGCCATATTGTGTTGTCAGAAATACGACAGCGAGATCCTGCATATGCATGGTAGTGGCAGTACAGAACGGTCACCACCATGCATGCATGGGATCTCGCCACCATATTGATGGAAGCACTGCAGAAGAATTGGGATAGTGGGAGTGACAATGTTTACATACCACTGCGAATGAGTATATCTGTCTACGCTTAGCTGCTTTGTTAAAACAATCTGTTTACAGAGCTAAAAAAAAAAAAAAAAAAGATCTCAAAACATACAGTCTAAAAACATAATATATTAGAAACCAAAGTAAAAGAAAATTGAACCCAAACCATCATTGTTTTCCCATGTCGTGTGTAAATATCATTGACAATGATTCTGATGGACAATAGCTGGGTAGCCAATCTGTGCAGAGCCTTCTGAGTGACAGCAAAGACACCTTACAGACATTTAATGGTACACTATATTTCTCTCTCTTACTTACAGTCTCCGTACTCAGCTGCCCAGGCAGACCAGGCTGCCACACGACTGCGTACATCCACCTGGGTGACTGATCCGGGAGGCCTTGGAGCTGGGGCATGGGGAGGTGGAGGAACTTTGCTGTCGCTTGCTGCAATATTCCTAAAGGGAGATCAAAAACGCAGATTATTATAGAACACTAACTAATACCAACTAGCAGTAGACTAGAATGAGGAAAACGAGCTGCCATGCCTGGGTTTGTAGCCATCTTTGAGAACCTCCATCACAGAGCACCTACACCATAGAGTACATCTACCAGCTGCTGAAATTAACCCATCACTGAATTTGGGTATTCAGTGTGGGGGGAAATATCTGCATTCAAATCAGGGAGCTACTACAGGCATAAATAAAAAACATTTTTGGGCTCTTTTAAAAGTCATGAGTCAACTTTCAGGTCAGCTGTTGTAATTGCTTAAAAAAATCTGTCCTATATGCGAGTTGTCACATGCCTCTGAGTGGCTGGTCTGTAACCTGATGTGTGGGAGTGCGAGGTACCTCAAGGGTGGGAGTGGGAGGTCTTTGTGTGTGCTTTATGGCTGCAAAGTGGGGGGAATAACAAGAACATAAGATGGAATAGTTCCTACAGTATGTATGTATGTATATATAAATATGTGTGTGTATATAAATATGTGTGTGTGCGCGCTTCACATGAGGATTTAGCCTTTTAGGGATTGTTCCCATTTCTCCATAGAAGAAGAGCTTGAGGTTTTGCTCCACATATAAGTAACAAAAAGGTAAGTAGAATGTGAAGGAAAGTGGTTGTAGTCTAATTTCTCGATAAATAAAATCTGTTGACGCTCAGTGCCAGCTCTAGATATCAACCACAACAGACTTCAGCCTAAAGCTGGCCATACATTATGCAAATTTCATCCAGTTCCTGAATTCGTACAGTAGGTGCCACTGTCTGCACCCTTTTGGCCAGCATCCCTCAATCAGCCGATCGAAGGAGCCGGTCGGAAAATCTTCGAACGAACAGAACTGGCAGCCAATGAGCTTACGGCTCTGTTGGGGTATTCGAATAGCGGCCGGCAGCAACTGCCAGGATACCAAAGAAACAGCGTGGATTGCTCGATCAACGCTAGTATAGAGTTGATGGAGGAATCTGTTTTATTTTTTTTCTTTCAGCCTGTGGGTTGAACAAAAAAATTAGAACAGTGTATGGCCAGCTTTAAGCCCACAGAGGGTGAAGGACATTTTCCCACTACAAAACATCAAACACAACAGTTTAGTATAAATTCTAATGCCTGTGGGTGGCTCTAACACTGCAGTGCGTATCGAGTAACAAAAGAGCAGAAGTGAATCAGGTTTCAGACGTCAAAGAGCATTCCCGGTTTTCACTAGCAGTCCAGGCTTATCTCATGCTGCTTACCTTAGTACATCCACCCGAGTCCTTGGTCTCCCTCCTCTGCTATCACTCAGCGCGCTGTCAATATCTTGATGGATGAAAGAAGCCTGGAAGATTGAAAAGTCACAATCAGACACAGTGTTGTGCAAAAAGAACAAATAGGACACCAAATGCAAAACAATATGAAGGAGGGTAGGACATGCACCACCACACAATGGAAACCAATAAACTGCAATCTCATGCATGGCACAATGTAGATAAGCTGCAGTTCTAGTCTAATTTACAGCTTCTATTCTACATGAAGCAGCAGAAAGGTCACTGGATTTAATTCTGTACAAAATAAAATCTATTTGTGTTTCCAGGGTTCAGCTGGGTCTGATGGTGGTCCATAAACTAGAACCGTACGATCGGATGGATGTTATCTATATCCTGTGCTGTACTGGTCTCTCACTTGTCATCATTTTAGACAGATTTATGTTGTCCAGTTATCTCCCTCGGCACCACCATTCCTGTGACATGATTCAGACTGCCATGCTGCTAGGTCTGGGATGTGACGTTTTGGCTCTGGGCTCCCTCATCTGTCAGTCGCTGACCTCATTGGAGAACTAAAGCTTTAGTCCTTGCAGTTTTAGCTGCATGACAGGGTCACTTTAAAAAGGCCCAATATAGAGGAAAATATTGTATTAAAAAGAAAAAACACTGATGCACTTATTGCATAAATAGTGTTAGATGAAGTTTGCTTAAAGGGTATCTAAACCCAAAAGCAAAAATGTCATATATTGCAGTTTTCCAATCCTTGAGGGCCCAGTGACACTGTACACAACCTGATCAGTGGTTTGTCTCAACCCTGTATATGCTACTTTTGCTGGACAGCTTGGCCTGTTAAAGGAAGTTAATAAAAAACAAATAGAACTGTGCATACCCAGTTTTAGACTACCATGTCAACAGGGTGACAACAAGGCTGCAATTTCACTGCAGAATGAGCAGCGTTGTCATCCTGTTACAGCAAGTAGAACATCAATGGATCTACTGGTTGAATTAACAGGTAATAAAACAGAGAAGGGAATTTATCAAAACTGGAGCAGAGAAAATCTGGAGCAGCTGTGCATGGCAACCAATCGGCATCTCTCTGGCCATACACCTTACAATTATCTGCAGATTTTCTGTGGTCAGATGGAAAAGGTGCAACAGATTCCTCCATCTACACTTAACCGTGTGGATGGAGTAATCTCCACCTGGGCCAATCTGTTGCACTTTTTCCATCTGACCACAGAAAATCTGCAGATAATTGTAAGGTGTATGGGCACCTTTCATGTTCAAATCTTAACTGAACTAAAGAGAGAAGCTGATTGGTTACTATGCACAGCTGCTCCAGATTTTCTCTGCTCCAGTTTTGATAAAATCCCCCAGAGTGTTTTCTCGTGGAAAACACACCAGCTCCCTGTAATCCAGAATTCTCTCATTAGGATACAAAGAGAATGAAATACCAATGCCAAGCTAAACATTCAAGCAATGCTCTCAGTGAAAAGTACTTCAAGGTAAAAGCCCTGTTTGTACAGCACTGAAAAACACACCTGATGGGTTTTTAAACCTTGGTGCACCATACTGCAGATCAATTGATACACAATAGCTCTGGGCCAACTGGTTTGGCAATTAATCCCATCAATAATTATGACACTAAACTAATACATTATGATCAAGGCTGGACAAATCCTAGGAGCCAGGTCACCAATGTTCCATAAAATTTACAACTGGCGCCCAACATTTGAGGTTTTCTCTAATTGTTGTCAGTGAAGCTGGCTCCTGGATTGGACAGACGGGCTCCTATATTCCATGCAAGATTGTCCACCACCGATGTAGAGTATAATTTTTTTGGGAGAACAAGATTTTATCCGTTGGCATTATCTGCCAAACATTATTAACATTTATATTCTAAAGCAAAAAAAAAATATGGATGATTTTCGAATTTTACCAGTGGTAGTTTTCAAACCGCTATGGATAAAAAAATTTAAAAAGTTACTTTTTCATACTGAACACTGAAGGGCATGTGTATAAAGCAGTAAATGTGACGTTCACTGCAGGTGAATCAATTATTGTAATTTAAAAACACATGCACCAGGAAGAAGTTCAAACAAATATCCCTGTTCCAAGGTCCGAGCACATCCCCAGCCACTGGATATCTGGGTGTTGGCCGTGCAGAGCACAACCATGCACTGCATTACCAGGAAGAGAAGCCAGACGCACCCTGAAAACATCAGATCTTTTCAGTTTTTACTCAGGAGTTAAATCTTAAAAGTGCATTCTAGTACCCTAACTATTAACAACAGTGTATCTTATTTGTGTATCACTTGGCTGTAGAGCCTCAAATCATCTCTGAATTGGTGCCGACGCTGTCCTTCCTCCTGAAGGGGGGCTACTTTTGTTCACCATGGTCCCCCTTAACGACTACAATCTCATGTTTAGTTTACTCATTTGTATTGAGATTGTAGTCCACCCCTGGAACGAGCTTGGAGTGGGGGACTACTTTACAATGAACACAGGGACCAAGAGTAGCCCCCCTCCAGAAGGAAGGACAGTGTCAGCACCAATTCAGAGATGATTTGACGATTTACAGCCTTGATACACAAATAAGATACATTTTTGTTAATAGTTAGAGTACTTGAATGTATTTCTAAGATCTAACTTGGAGTTATGTGTCACTTTAACTGCAGTCCACTGAAGATATTGAATATACAAGATTGTTCTCTCTAGAAAATGTTTTTAGCCAGGTCAGGTATAACTAGCTGTGTGACCTATTTTATATGAGGCAGTGTAAAACTCATAATAGTGCGTAAAATGTTGTTGTTTTTTTCCTTCTCCTCTATTAAATATTTTTACAATTTATATTAAACAATTTATATTAAACAACAGCAAACACTACTACACAACATCCATGATCCTGCGGTACCTCGAAAACTTGAACCCCATCATTCCACCTATTCCCAGCTCTGCCTGTTTCAATCCCTTGGTATGTCTCCACATCTCTATTTTGGCTTCCATCATGGCTTCCCCATCTTCCCTTTCACCCCCCACCCTCCCCAATTATTTTGTGATGCATCTACCTGAAGAAGCATTTTAAATACTATTTATTTTGTGCATATTTTTACTTTTTTACCCTTTAAATGTACAACATATACATTATTATATATCTATATAGATATATATATATATATACACACACATACATGCATACATACATGCATACATACACACACTATGATTTATTTGCGTTGCTTAAAACCTCTACCATCTTTCCTTTCACCCCCCACCCTCCCCAATTGTTTTGTGGTATATCTACCTTAAGAGGAATTTCAAAAATACTATTTATTTTGTGCAATTTTTACTTGTTTTCCCTTTAAATGTACAACATATCCATCCCTTTATATATATATATACACACTAGGATTTATTTATTTGTGTTCCTCAAAACCTCTTCCCTTTCTCTTTGTGAATTTTTCTATGTAACTTTCCGTGTCCATTTAAATATCCTATTCCCTATGCTATAAATGAATGTAATAACCTAGATGGGGCTAGGCCAGGTATAGACAACCATGGAGATCATATCCTCCAGAATTTCTGTAGGCAACCTATATGAAGGAAAATCAATCTTTCTTTCAATAATACTTCATTAACCTGCGTACAACGACCCTCCAATGTGGGTGGTCTGGGAGACCAGGGCCGGCCTTAGGTCTTTAGGCGCCCTGTGCGAGAAAGCTTTACAGCGCCCCTCAGTGACCACACCCCTCAGTGGCCACACCCTTTAGTGACCACACCCCTAGTAACCACACCCATTTATTACCCATATTTTTGGTAAAATATAAAAAGCGGGGTCACGTCGGGTAAATAGACACCAAACATGTCATGCTTTAAAATTGCGCGCACCCGCGAAATCGAAAAAAACTACCATGCCCAAAATTGACCATAGGTGACGCTTTAAAAGCTTTTACCGCTCATCAGTTTAGGGTTATCAGTGATTGATAGCCCTACAATTATTGCTCTCATTCCGACGGCGATATGTAACTTGTGCGGCGTAATGGGCGAAATCGTCGTTTTCACACGTATGAGCACCCGACGTCTGTTTGCATGCGTGTATGTATGATCCCCGAGGACGAGCTGTGTCGGCCGCACGGCGCCCTTGTTGCCATGGCGCCCTGTGCGGCCGCACTGCTCGCACACCCCTAAGGCCGGCCCTGTGGGAGACAACCATCTTAAAGCAATCATTTCCTTGCTATACCCAGAAGTCGTATAACGGAGTCAACTACCCCCGAATCATAACCCTCCTCCTCGTAATTCAAAAGACATAGTTTGGGGTGCAACACCAATGAAATATCAAATACGTGGTTTACAAAGAGGACTAGATCTTCCCAGTACCCATGTAGTTTGGGACATCTCCATAGCATGTGGATCAATGTTTTGGATGGAGTGGATAAGGTTTAGATCCCCTGTTGAGTTTTTACTGCTGTCTGAGATTTTGCCACACTTCCTGTCTAGCCGACAGCAGTTTTACCAGATAGAAAGTGAAAAAAAACATCTGCAACAGACAAAAATAAAACTAAAAAAAAGGGGGTTCTAGCCTTCCCTACTCTGTTGCCCTACAAATGGCAACACAGATTTATTTTCAGTCTGTGTTGCCATTGTAGGGTTCCCTCACTTCCTGTCTTGTAAAATGTTGGCTTGACAAACAATTTTAGGGTCCATTCACACCAGTCTGATCAGTTGCATTGTATTTAATGCACATTATGTCATGCGCTAACATTAATGCGCATATAAATTCCAACCAGTGAAATCATATTATAAAAAGAGTCTTTCAATTGGCGGCTTCCATCGGCTACTTTTGTCCGGGTCAGTGAGGTGAAGGAGAATCTGTTCAGCAGAGGGTGGAAGAACTTACGTGCAGGTAAATGGGGAAATGGAAGGTAGATGCATGCACTAGGGGAAGGAAGCTGAATTCGTGCACACTGGGAGAGGGGATTGAAGGTAAATTTCTGTGCTGGGCAGGGGGGTGTATTTGTGCACTTGAGGGAGGTAGGTGAAGGTATGCATGGGGGGGGGGGGGGGGCTTTTCAGAAACTCTACACAGAAATGCTGAATACAGGATGCACACCATTCCACACTGAGCAAGCCACCATGTGCACCAAGTGATGGGGATGACACAACGGCAAAACAGCCAAAGAGACCTTACCTTGACCTCATCACACTGGAAGAGGTGCAGATCAGCTCTGCTCTGTGTTGGCTCTTTACAAATAAGGGCCAGAATGGAATCGTATCTGCAGGCCTTCATCACAGCCTTACAGTGCTGAATGGTGCTTGTAGGAAAGTTCTCTAATTCAGTCTGTGCAAAAATGAAATATCACATATTGTGCACATCATCCGCCATGCCAACTGCTACAAAAACTAACAGGTTCATCAATACACCAACTGATATATCAAATGCTAAGTCAACCACTATGCCCGCTACTATACCCACAGCACCAAATGCTGCATCAGCTGCCACATACACCACTACATAGACTGCCAAGCCCAACACTATGCCCAATGCTACATCAACTTCCAGATCACTACACCCCACTGCTACATCAACTGCCAAATCCACTTCTATGGCCATTGCTATATCAAACGCCAGATCCTACACTACACCTACCACTGCCAGGTTCACTACTATGCTTATTAATACATCAACTGCCGCATCCGCCACTATGCCCGCATTAACAGCCAGGCCCAGCCCTATGTCCTCTGCATCATCTACAATGCTAACTGCTATATAAACAAACAGCTCTACTACTGTGCCTGCTGATACATCAACTGCTACCAGCATAGCCATGCCTACTGTTATTAGAAAGAGAAGGCAAAAAGGAAATGGAACAGAATGCCCAGGCAAGGCTCATCCCTACATCATGCCACACAGGAAACAAAAACACAGGAAAAGAGAAAATATCTGGCAAAGTGAAGACATGGACCAATGACAGCATGGAGTGTGTGGTCTACTGATCTTCAGTATAAATGTCTCCCCAACAAGTCTTCCTAAAGAATAATACAAGATCTATCTCTTGTTGTATTTCCACACATGACCTGGTAGGAAGAGGATTCACGGCACCACTCCCTCATCTCACTCTTTCCATTTCCGAAACTCTAAGGAATGCTCATTATGTCTGAAATTAGTCACCGAGCATGGACAAAGTCTACCAGTACAAGGTGGAGGAAAAAAAAACTTGGGCTAAAACAAACAAAAACCATTTGCTACAAATTGTGACAAACAACCTCAGATGAGCTAAAAGTGTGATATATTGTTTGTGGCTCATGTCTGGCAGCAGCTCTCCCTGGACCCTTGGGGACCCTACAATTACAATCAGTCCTTACCCAAACAAATGTGATTCAACAAGTGCCCTCCCAGAGGGTGATCCACAATATCACAATATCTTAGCATCTAGACTGCCAACAGCCCTAAGCACAACATTAACAGGATAAGACGTAGCCTTTTGCTCAATCTACAACACCTACCAGCCAGGGACCTTCTACAGTATACAACCAGAAAAATGACACACAATGTGGCTTACATAAAAAAAAAAAAAAAAATTAATACAAGATGGCAACACAGGAGGATTACCTTTGTTTCTATATCGGACAAACTAACACCTTTGTCATCAACTTGTAGATACATATCTTGGGTCCACACTTTCCCTTTGGCATCAAGTAATTTTAGCTTCCGGATCCCATCGTCCACCGTTAGCATGGCCTCTTTCCGATCCATGGTGAAGGTGGTGAGGTGCTGCAGGACATTGTCAGCAGTGTCACAACAGGTGACGGAGGCAACGTGCCCCAGGACAAGGACTAATGTAATGTGGAAGGAAATCTGGGGGAATTCTATGATACATTACTTGATGGCTTCCAGACCTCCTTAATAAAATTAACAGGATTTTGAGAAGTCACCCCAAATAACCCAGCAAATCATTGTCTTGTGCCTGTAGACATTACACCAAGTTATCAGCTAATTATATCGGCTATATACGACACACAGAAATCGCCATCAAACATTCACAGAGAATATATTATCTGCTACACTCATCACTTTCTGTAAAAACTATGATGGTTAACATTCAAGAAGTTCTAGGACATGGCTACCGTAACATGCATGAGGACAGCAAACTCGATCATGCCTTCTTTCACTAGAAATATTCCAGAGAGATACTGTATGTGTGTGGGGACAGTTCTAACAACCACCATTATTGCCAGTAGCATCACATTTGCCGATCAGCGACTGGAAATAGAAATAATCAATGTGCCTCTGAATAGGAAATGTGATCATCCAGGAAAGCGGTTTTGTAGTTATTCCACAGGGCTCAGCTTCATCATCCAAACTCTACGCCAACAAAAGTCATCATCAAAAACCTACCTCAACATGGTACTGGGTGGTCTCCGATATGGTGCTGGCAGTGTCCCGGGCATAGTTTTTTCTTTGCTCTGTGAACAGAAAACATACAACACAACTCAGAATAAGTGAACAGGGTGGCACCCCCATCATCCCTCTGCTGTGGGTGCAAACAGACTTGGGCGCCCAACTTAGTCTCCACACTGGCATCCATTAACAGGTGACTGGGTCCTGGCCCGGCCACTTGATACATCAGGGGACTGAGGTCCGGACGCCATTCCCTGCCACATCAGGTGACTGGGGTTTCCAGTTCCCTGTACCAATCGCTTCAGAGGGTCCTCATTTCACTGGCCCTACCCACTCACTCTTCATTTTGTTTTGTGCTCAACAGCCAGTTAAAATGTTATTGGCATTGGTTAGATGTGCATTTTGAATCCTCAAAAGGTCGTGGTTCTCAACTGGTGGGTTGTGACCCAAAAGTGGGTCGCGACCCCATGTTCAGTGGGTCACCACGTGCCTTCCTTTGCACTAGGTGAGAGGTTCTGCAGCCTCCCACAAAGCGCAGCACTGTCAATTCTCGTGCCGAGCAGCCATTCAAACTATGCTGCCTGGTACCAAGTGTCAGCTTGAGGTGGAGTGGGCAGGTGGTATGGCTGCAAGAGAGCTCCATCCATATGTGCTTTGCTTACAGCTCCCTCGTGTGACCGGAGTGACATCACATTCTGGCTCCTGCCATTTCTACAGGGAGTGCAAGGGAGCTGTACAAGCAATGCACATATGGAGGGAGCTTTGTCACAGCACAGCAGCCCACATTGAACCAATACATTGTTTTATGAGTGTGTATGAGAAGGTCTCTGAGTGTGTGAGATTGTGTCTGTGGTTGTGTGTGTCTGTCAGTGCTTCAATTGCAAACTACCACAAAATCGCACCTACTGTTCGTTCTGGTGCGGGAGGTGCATTGCAATTCATTTGAATGGCACCCCAAACACACCTCCCGCCTACAGTTTGATCGCTTGCACCCGAACATGAGGTGCTGCAATGCCGTGCGTTCCAGTGTGGTGCGACTTGGGTCGCGACTTAATGAGCAAGGAGAAATGTGGGTCCTGAGGTTATACAGGTTGATAACCGCTGCTCTAAGGTGAACTTTAAAAAGTAACTAAGCCCAACACAGAGTTCCATTGTTTAGGGGACATTTATCAAGCAAATAAGCAACACAAATGGATGCAAAGAAAATTCCCCCTTTGTTCAACAAAGACCCGGAGATAGGTTTACGGTGTATTCTTGACCCTTGCACCTCTAACCCTGGGCAGTTATATGTGAAAGTCTTGCACATATCTGGGCAGATTTATCACTGGTTTTTCCACCACTATAAACCTATAGTTAGGAACAGTCAGGGTCAGGTTTCATTCTGTCACAAAACATTGCTACTGTCGAGGAATTTACAAGACAAGCTATAACCTTGTAGTAAATCTGTTGCACGATCTCTCCCATTGCTCCAGTTTAGCATTGCCTTGCTGCAGCAACAGGATTGACAAATGCCCCCCCCCTCTGTAATTCCCACATCAACATTTAAAAAGGCAGAAGCACTTAAAGTAAAAACACACCTAGATGACTGAGACATGCAGTACTGTATTCAAACATGCAAAAGGTCACAGAAGACATTTTTCAACCCATAAAGAGGTGGGGAGCATACCAGCTTGGCCCTCCAGCCTAACAATAAGACTCAAGGACACAACATATACCTTTAAAACAACCCAACACCTTGATGGCAGAATGCAATGGACCCAACAATACTGGACGAGAAGCAACCAACATTCTTATTTTCCACCTTTATATTATAACATGGGAAAATAGCTTTTTTATAGCTTATATTTTTAAAATACCAATTAATATCTATATAAAAATAGGGTGCTGCAACTTTCAGCGATTAAATAATTTGGAACAGAGCCTGAAAGAAATAACACTTGCAGGTATGTGTATAGATGATATATGTTGAGGGGGTTATTTTGATAGATAAAAAGGGGCAGACAGACAGGTACACACACACACAGACTTGATATGTTGGAAAAATGGGGGGGGGAGGGGGGAGAGACGTGTGCATGAAAGCATTTGAATTTGGTCTGTGAACTTTTTCACTAGGTGCTTGTGAAGCAGAAAAACACTTTAAAACACATCTAAAAAAATAAAACCTGAAAAAAAGGTTTTCTGACCAAGAGAGCAAAGACACGAATACACGTCTCAGGCTAATGCTGCAAGGATACACAATCTCAGTGGAGCATTAGCAATTTCAAAATTGCAATAAAGTGTAAGCTTTTTGTCCAGTTTCCCAAAATATTGTTTACATGTGTTGGTCTGTCTGTGAGTACTATTACAGACACTGTGGTCACCAAGTGGCCCAAGTCCGAGAAAGTAACATAGATAACTTGCGGCTTTAAAAATAAAACAAAATTTAGCAGACAAGTAAAAGAGCTGCAATTTCTCCAAGAAATAAAATGATTCTACCCGGTCTACCCACCAAAAACCACATTCCTCTTCTCGGACCACAAAATGTGAGTATGTGCAGGAGGAATATATAGTGGGAAGGGCCGAAACAATTTACCCCTGCTGATTAAGTGCTGCAGGAGGTGGACAAGCTGTCCATCACAGGAGTTGCTGGGGATGATAGGTTGGGCCAAAAGGCAGCATCACATTACCTTCTTTCTATGAAGAACTGCCACTAATAATATGGACTACTTGCATTATCTGACTCTGATTAGTTTGCACATAATTTTTGGTTGGTAAGGAGTTATTTTTGACAGACTGATCAGTTCAGACACATGATGGAGGAGTTTATTCTTTTGAACTAGTCATTAAAGGCTCATGGTTGCAGTTTCATTCGTATGGGGTTTACTTTAGACAGCTCCCTGTGTTTCTGATCATTTTGCTTTGAAATTGGAGTGTGCTACAGATTCCATCAGCTACTTTCAACGCACGATTCCTTTCCAATGATCGCCTTCTGGATTCCTCAAGTGATGGAAAAGAGTAAAATATTAAGCATCTTCCAGCGTAAGCCCTTACAGCTTAGAGCAATATATTTCTGGAGTGTTGGGAGATGTGAGGACAAGACAAGACAGAAACATGGCCACAGCTATCAGAAAGGTCCTGAGTGTTCAGCTGTATGACAGAGAAGGCGCCTTATTACTTCTCATCCATTCACAAGATGTACACTTGTGACGACCCCAACAAGCCCAGCGCCACCAGTCAGGAGACACCCAACTCCCCATGTCCCTCTTCTAAGGGTCAGACTTCACAGAAAACAGCACTTCCCCATACAAAGCTCACAGCAATCCCACTGCAGACACATGCAAGAAAAACACATTGAAGGGATAAAGAAAATACACACTCTACCCAAACCAAACCCCCATCTATTAGGAGGTAATCTTTAGCATGGGTCCTCAGAAAAACAAACCAATACCACCAAAGAGGTTACCTCCAGCATAGCTCCACCGCATCACAATATACATCCATTGTATAAAACCATCCAGGGTCACTAAACACCCCAACATCACTACATACATCCAATCTATTGCCAACAATACCCTCCAAGGTCATTATACACCCCCATCACAACCCCTCACCATATACATCCATTCTATAATACCCCCTCCAGTGTCGCCATATTTTATTACATACAAAATAATCAAAACAGCTCCTCCTTATTTTACTTCCATTGTAATACTACCCTCCATTACTATACATTATATGCACGGTAAAAAATACCCCCCTCCCGATCATGTCACTGTATAGAACACCCAGTGTAAACATCCCACCATCACTATGAATAAGAATTATAATCTACGAGACCTTCTGTCTATAGAACTTAGATTTCAGATCCACAACCAACGGCATCAGTATCATTAACAAACACACAGACACAATCACAGCACACACACTGCAGACAACGCTGAATCTTCTACCTTTCTTCTTTTGTTTGGATGAAGATCGGAAAAAATAAATTCCATCTCCTCCTATCAAGAGAAGCCACAAAATAGTAGATCATAACAAGAATAGACAAGACTGTCTGAGCCAGTCAAATGGGATAATTCGGGGAAGGCCTCCATGCCATGAGTTATATGGACGAAGGGACTCACCCACATCGTCTTTCAATATGCTACTGCCAGATGTGGGTGAAGCCAAAGATCAGAAATGGACCTCTGATTTTATGGAACAACATGGGGTCAGTTACCAGACAACGAGGCCACAAGCTGAGCCACATAACTCTGAGGGGAGTTCTGATATCTTTCATTATTTGTTCAATTTATTTGAATAATACCTCATAACACACCGATATTAAGGGACAGATTTACAGACATCTGGGTGAATAGTGTTCCTAAAACACCACTCATTTCCAAGAAAATGTCCCTGTAAGGGGCAGAGTGTGGTGGATAGGTATAATGACAGCCATTAAGCAAAGTGTTCAGGCTGTATAATTAACAAATGTGATTTAACTCTATAGGAATTGGCGAGCGGGGAGAATTAAAAAAGTGAATTAGCAGTTAGAGGTTTCTTCACTCTCCAGCCTTTAGTGACCTAAATATACCAGAAACACAGTAAGTAAAGCCACCAAAGCAACACCTTACCATAAAGACTCTTTGCATTTGTTCTTGTGGTTTTATCTGACCTCACTGATGCCGCATCAAAATTACTGTAAGAAAAAAGAAGAATGGGTGACTATATGCTATAGGGTAAGTGCAAGGTGACATTGCAGAGCTGGTGACAGTCTATAAGTCAAGCAAAAGGTGACTATGGAGCCCAGGCAAAGTGCAATGTGACATTGATATATGGGGCCACAGTCTATAGGGTAAGTGCATGGTGACACTGCAGTTTGGGTTGACTAGTCTATAGGGTGACCCTGGATCACAGGGTGACAATTCTATATGGTGAGAAGAGGGTGACACAGAAATACAGTCTTCGGGGTGAGTGGAATGTGACAGCAGAGTACAGACAGTCTATAGGGTGAGTGCAGGGTGACATCAGCATACAGGGGGAAGTCTATAGCATGATCACAGGGTGACAGTGCAGAGCGACAGTCCATAGAGTCAGGTGTAAGGGGACAGGAGAATACAGAGTGACAGTCTATGGGTGGAGCATAGGGTGACAGCAGATTACGGGTGACAATCTATAGTGTTAGTTCAGAATGATACCAGAATGTGGGGTCACAGACTACAGGGTTGGTGCCAAGTAACACCCGAATATAAGGTGATGGTCTATATAGGCTGAGTTCAGGGTAACACCAGAATACAGGGTGATGGGGTAAGTGCACAGTGAATTTAAATAGGGTACTGAGGGGCACTGAGAGGAGAGAGCACTGTGCTGGACAGAGGGACACGTTTTTTGGATGTAAGGGTTATCTACAGAAATTGTTGGTTGGGCTGTAGAGACAAACTAGAGTACCTGAAATCCGCAGAATGATTTCCAAATCCACCCCGATAATTGGATAAATGACCGTTCATTCTGCAATATCTACAACAAGAAACATCCTTGGTTACTTTTTGTGACCCGCTGCTACATACATATACACAGCAATATATAAATATACACTGCAGCTAGAGCTTTGGGCACATATGTATAAACTGGAGCTGTACAGTGCCTTGCAAAAGTATTCACCCTCATGGTACTTTTCCTGTTTTATTGCATTGCAGCCTGGATCTGAAATGGTACACAATGCGCTTACCACTTTGTAGGTGCAATATATATATTTTTTCTTTTATTGTGACACAAACTATAATTAGGACAAAAAAAAAACCCCAGAAATCTTGCGTTTGCATAAGTATTCACCCCCTTTGCTATGAAACTGCTAATGAAGATTTGGTCCAATCAATAACTTCAGAAGTCCTATAACTGATAAATAAAAAGGTCTACCTGTGTGTCATCAAAGTGTCACATCATATCAGTATAAATGCACCTGTTCTGAAAAGGTATTGGTCCATAGGGCTACTTTACCCTTAGCCATACACTCCACAGAGTGGGGCTTTATGGAAAAGTGGCCAGCAAAAAAGCTATTGCTAAGAGAAAAAAAAATAAGAATTCTTATTTGGAGTTGGCCAAACAGCATGTGACAGGCTCCCCAAAAACACATTAAATTAGGTTTTCTGGTCAGATGAGACTAAAGTTTTGATTTTTGTCCATCATGAAAAATGTTATGCTGGTGCAAAACCCAACACTTTCCCCATCATCCCGAGAATACCATACCCAGTGAATCATGGTGGCCTATGCACCATGCTGCGGGGATGCTTTTCATCAGCAGGGACTGGAAAACTTCTCCGAACTGAAGGAAAAAAGGGTGGCACTACAGGGCGGTACTTGAAGAAAACCTGTTTCGGTCTGAACTTTCCAGGACAATGACCCTAAGGCTTCATTCACATGAGAATTGTCCGGCACGTACAGCTCCCTGCTGCGTGCACGGCCGTATCGGGCATCTCCCGGGAAGGACAGGTGCTGCGTGTGATGAGTATGCAGCCCCTGCCTTTCTCTATGGGACTACGTGACTGTACGCCGCCCTACGCTCACCCCAAGTGCTGGTCCGTACGGATGCCCCGGCTCAGACATGATCCATCCTGTCAGCATATGAGTACGGACACCCGCACGGACGTGCAGGGCAGTGAGCGTACGGCGGCGTAGTCCCATAGAGAAGGACAGGGGCTGCGTACTAATCACACGCAGGACCTGTCCTTCCCGGGAGCTTCCCTAAACAGCCTTGCACGCAGCACGGAGCTGTACGTGCCGGCCGGTTCTCGTGTGAATGAGGGCTAAAAATACTGCTAATGCTACACTGGAGTGGTTTTACAGGAACATTTAAATGTCTTGGAGTGGCCTAATCAAAGCCCAGACCTGTGTTCAAATTGAGAATCTGTGGCATGACTTGAAGTTTGCTGAACACAACCCATCTAATTTAAAGGAGCTGGAGTTTTTCCTTGTGTAATGGTGTAATGGGTACAAATCCGACTGGCTAGATGTGTTACGCTAATAGAGACATACCCCAAGAGACTTGCAGCTGTAATTGCAGCAAATGGTTGCTCTACAAAGTATTGACTTGGGGGGTGGAGTGTGAATACTTATGCACACTTAAGATTTCTGTTTTTTGTGCCTTAATTGTTTGTGTCACAATTAATTAAAAAGTATGTTGCACCTACAAAAGTGGTAGGAATGTTGTGGCACAAGCACACATTCTCCCCCCCCCCCCCCCCCCAAACACACAT